ATATGTATATATATATATACATACATATATACTACTGTCTCTTATACACAGTATTCGTAGACAGGCCTAGCCTAGGCTATAGGTAGGCTAGTTCTATATAGAATAGGCCTAGGCCTAGCCTACCCTAGGCTAGACACTAGGCCTAGGATAGGTCATGAGGGTTTGCCAGACTAGGTAGGCCTCCTAGACATTGGCCAGGCCTAAACATCTTCTTCTGGCCTAGGCCTATGATGGCTAGGTAGGCCGCCTAGGCTAGGCCCTAGCTGGCCTACTTTAGGCTCAGGCCTAGGCCAGGCTTGTTGTGTGATATGTGTTCATGATCTCACCTAAAAAAATATTGAATCCATGTTTGTTCTTTCATTTCACCGGTAGCCGATGATTTGGCAGATCCCGTGGATTTTCGAACACATTGTTTAACAACTAGTTTATGTTTTGAACATGTACCTAGGCGCTGACCACATAAACCGTACACTCTGACGACTGCTGCCATTTTAAATTAAGAGAAAGAAAGGGGACGAAGGTGGTGTTGTCGTAGGCAGATAGGCTTCTTGAACGTTCTTTGCAGCCTAGCCTGAGCCTAGCCATACCAAAAGATCGTGATTACCACTAGAGGGCGTTTTAACAAATGACTACATCGCTATTAAACTTTTGTGGTTCTCTTTTAATGTTTAGATATCTTTCTGACATAGCCTATTTTGACCCGATTTTCGATGAAATTACAAACATTCTATAATGCTTTGAATGATGATGATATTAGTTTATATATGATATAATTATTATTCATGTATATTATTAATATGTTTTGTCTTTTTACCAAATTATTAGCTTTTAATTATAGGCATACTATAATTATGCCTATATGAAGCCTATTTTAAACGTTTTATTCCACCTTAGTATCTGTCCCATTTTCAACTGGCAATGTCGTATTTAAATGTTTAAATATCTATTTTTTAATTATTGTATTTAATTTTTGTTGCAGGGGCGGATTTAGAGGGAGGCTAAACAGGCTTTAGCCCCCTAAATTTCATAGCCATTTCTTTTTAACTGCTTTTTGAAGGTCAAAATTAAAATATTGTTTAATGTTTTCTTGACACACATCATATTTATGGGCTAAACATTTTACAGTAGTTGTTTTTCAGTGATAAAATAAAAATGAAATACGTTTAACCGATCAGCGGACAAAAAACGTAGCTAAGAAAGCTGCTTTTGCCTTGCCTTCATGTTCAATTTCGAAGCAAAGGCCGTTGGTAGCGGTCTCAACGTTTGTATAATACATGGGTGAAGATCGATTTAACGCTCTGATATTATTGTACATTCACAGAGACATAGAGCTAAACACAACCCGACATAGAGCTAAACACAACCCGAACAAATGTAGAGTAATGCGAATCACTCGATCAACTAGTCGAGCACAATCTCCAAAAAGTTATCACATCAATGAGGCTTGCCTTCAGCTCACTTCTACTCACAAGTACCTTGGTGTTAACATTGCATTTAATTTATCATGGAGCTGTCTCTTATACACATCTAGATGTGTATAAGAGACAGGTGTTACATTCTGTTACAAAAGGTTTTAATAACAAACGCCTCGCTTGCCACTCTGTGCTTTTCTGCCGTCGATGACGATCAGCCAATAGGCCTTATGGGGATGCCATCATACACTAGTCTTATAACATTAATAATACATCGGTAGTGTTGCTTTCAAGTCCCGATTTCAATTGTACAGGGACGAAGAATCTAAGCTATACACTACGCCATGCATATATGTATATATATATATACATACATATATACTACTACTGCATTTAAAACATATTTTAAGGGGAATTCTTTTGTCGTCTGAGGTTCTCTTTAACATTGTCATATTTTACCTTTAGGGACAGTATTTTTTTTTATTATGGAACTGTTTTCTCCCTCTTCATTGTCTTCCGTTCCCCACGGCAACCCTTTCATCAGGATTTTTAAAGAATGGTGAAATTTCAGGAAGGTCCTCAACATTTTAAGGGTGGTGCACAAAATTTTAAAGGGTGGATACAAACAATTGCTATTTTAGTACATAGCAAGTGGCACACTAAGTCTGTTTACTGACCTTGCATTTGCATTAATATTTTTTTGAAGCGTGGTTCCAATATTTTAAGCATGGCGTATGATTTGCCTTTTTAATATTTTTATTTAAATTATGTTGTTTCTGTGAGTATCCTACGTGAAAAGATATTTTTATCTGCCATTAAAGATCATAGTTAATCGTTTTTCATATTATTAATTTATTTACATATATTCTTGATATAATAATGATTTACTATAATATTGTTTAACATATACGGAAATAAATGTTGTTTAATGAATGAATAATTATTCAAATCCACTTGCACTTGAAAACAACAACTAGGCATCAGTTATTATTTTCAATGGTGTCTACCACATATTTCTTCTTCAATTATATACAGATACTAAATAAAAGCTCCATTGTACAATTATATTTATTCAGTTTGTTTTCAACGTAGTACTATCAGATTGTTTTGAAAGCTTAATGCAGTCACTATAACAATATTCGAATTTCACAAATTTCGACTTCTGAAGGAATCCAAAATCCACCCACTCCTGTGTTGGAACCCATTATTATTTCTTTATACAATAT